CGCCATGAAGTCTGAGTTGGAAGCTGTGTTGATGAAAGGAACCTGGGTGATCGTAGAGCGTCCCGAAAATCAGCAGGCGATAGGCAGCCGTTTCGTTCTTCGTAACAAGTTCAGGAGCAATGGAACCCTGGAGAAGAAAAAGGCCCGCCTCGTCGCGAGAGGATTTTCACAGCGACCTGGCGTCGATTACGGTGACACTTTCGCTCCCGTGGCGCGTATCGGATCCATTCGATTGGTGGCTTCCCTCGCCGCTAGACTAGGTCTCGAATTGCGGCAATTCGACATAACCACCGCCTACCTTAATGGAAATCTAACTGAGGACGTATACATAGAGCCTCCGAAGCATATAGAAGAAGTCTTAGAGGAGATTGTGAGCTCGGGCGGAAAATCATGCTTGCGTAGCGCAGCATCAAAAACTCTCGAACAACTCCAACTCGGCGATAAGGTGTTCCTTCTCAAGAAGGCCCTATACGGCCTTCGTCAGGCCGGAAGATGTTGGTACGAAAGGCTACGAGCAATTCTTTACAAATTCGATCTGACTCAGTCAGCGTGTGATCCATGCGTATTCTATCTTGGAGAGCGAGAGAATCTCGTCATCGTCGCTATTTACGTCGACGACATTATCGTGGCGGCTAGAAGGGACTGCGACACGGTGGGACGACTTTACGCTCATCTGTCAGAAGAATTTGAAGTCAAGGATCTCGGTCTTACGAAATACTGTCTTGGTATTGAGTTCTCACAGAAAGAAGGGAAGATCACGATGAATCAGCGAGGATACGTCGACGACTTGTTGAAACGTTTCGGAATGGTCGACTCTAAGCCCGTGGCTACTCCCATGAGTCAGGGAACGAAGTCAGCCCGAAACGAAAAGATCGACTCGACACAGGTTGATGTACCATACAGGGAGCTCGTGGGTGCACTCATGTACCTATCAGTGTGTACCAGGCCCGACATTACACATGCAGCGAGCTATCTGAGCCAGTTCAATAACTGCTACGACTCCGACCATTGGACGGCGGCCAAGCGCGTGTTGAGGTACCTGAAGGGCACTCGAGATGTTGGTCTCATCTACGGAAAGACCTCGGATCCATTGACGGGTTTTGTTGACGCCGACTGGGCAAATTGCGAAATCGACCGGAAGTCCTACACAGGCTTCGCTTTCATCCTTGCCGGATGCCCAATATCATGGGAATCGCGAAAACAAAGGACGGTCGCCTTGTCTTCGATGGAGGCCGAGTATATGGCCATCAGCGACGCCGCAAAAGAAGCCACACACCTCCGGCGTTTTCTACTCGAGCTGGGTCTCAACGACCTCGGCAAGATCACTCTGTACAGCGACAACTGCGGTGCTATTAAACTGGTCGAAAACCCGGTCTTCCATAATCGGTCCAAGCACATCGACGTACGACATCATTTTGTGCGCGGTATAGTCGAGAACGGTGAAATGAAAATTTTGTATAAGTCCACGGAAGATATGGCCGCCGATGTTCTGACGAAAGGACTACCGGGTCCCAAACATAAAGAATGCGTTAAATTGTTAGGCTTAAGTTGCGGTTACCTGCGTACAGATTAGTTTACAAATGTATTGAGGGGAAGTGTTGAGATTTGTCCTGCTCTCTACATGAAGTAAGCAATACACGTTGTGCTACCACTAACGCCACGTATCGGCGTTACGCGCTGGTTTGTCAGTATCGCCCCAGTCTGGCTACGGCACTTGTAACGACAGCTTCTGGTTGTTAGCGTGTCTTTTTTGGTTCTATGCACGCGCTCTGTTCTTTTGCCTCCACCTGAGTTTCGTCAATATATAGTATATCCTTCTTCATAAACTCGAGTAGCAAGAATAGTTTAGTAGAAATAAAATTTTACCGGAAAAAAATTATAATCCAGCATTTCTTTTCACGAAAGTCTTGAAAGGTCATCAGAAAAGAAATATGTTTGAGACTCGAGATTTGTGAAGAAAATATACGAAAAAAATTGAATAGTTGCAAAAAGCACGTTTTTCGCTTATAAAACGAAAGATATTGATAGTACGAAAAAAAATTCGATATAAAAAAATGTAGGTATTCGAAATACCTACAAAACAGCATTAAAATCAATCTATTAGTAGAACAAAAATAAAAAATACCGAAAAAAACCTTTTTTTTACTCGCTCTCTGTTCATTGAGATTTAAACGCAAAACTTTGAAATTTTCGTAAAATGTAGTCCTCGTAATGATGAACAAATCTAGTCCTAAAGAAGCCTGAAATGTTCAATAGTTTTTGCAAAAAGTAATTTGTTTACTAAAAACCTGTCTGCAAAAAACTTAATTTCTTCATCTTTGAGCAATCGCATAGCAATTTACAGGAGTGATTTTTCTTCTTTAAGAGTTGCACTATCACATACTCTTAATAACAAAACGATTTTTTGCAGTAAAACTATTATAAAACTACTTTAAAAAATGGGTATCTTTTTTCGTGTAAAAAAATGGAATAATTACGTTAATATGCATTACATCAAATAGCCGTGTGAAGCATTTGACATGTTTTTGAAGACAGGTTTTTAGTAAACAAATGGCTTTTTGCAAAAACTAATGAACATTTCAGGCTTGTTCAGGTCTAGATTTGTTCGGCATTACGAGGGCTATATTTTACGAGAATTTCAAAGCTTTGCGTTTAAATCTCAATGAACAGAGAGCGAGTGAAAAAAAGGCCTTTTTCGGTGTTTATTATTTTTTTTCTACTAATACTAATAGATCGATTTTAATGTTCTACGTCTTCTTTTGTAGGTACTTCAAATATCTATATTTTTTATACCGATTTTTTTTTCTATACAATCAATGTCTTTCGTTTTATAAACGAAAAACGTGCTTTTTGCATTCGATTTTTTTCACAATTCTCAAATAAACGCATTTCTTTTCTGATGACGTTTCAAGACTTTCGTGAAAAGAAATGCTGGTTTATAATTTTTTTTCGGTAAAATTCTACTTCTACTGAACTATTCTTGTCACTCGAGTATATGAAGGAGGGGTATATAACGTGCATGAAAAATCATAAACAATTAAATATCTCGTAAACTATTATATTTTAACATGATTTATACTATTCTGGATTAATGGGAGAGGTACACTACTACTACAATTTATTAAAGTTTATATGTTATTTAGATTACCTGCCGCCTCTTATTGATGTCTAGGACCGAGTGGCCGAGATTGCCGAGAAAGCATTTTCGGTCGCTTGAAATAAGCGTGAAAAGTGTGAAAAGAAACTCGTTATCTCGTTCACTTTTAGCCTGCCGCAGGCAAGCACACGGACATGGGTTCGTGCTTGTATGTGTGTTACAGCGCCGCATCACGATAAATGGCCAAACTTATTGACATGGAAAAGTAACGTTTTGATACAAAATTTACGTTGCATGCCATTTCATTATTATTTGCTTAATTGTGAAAATGTGACTTGTCTCGTACTTATCAAAGTTGTAATTATCGATGAAAATTAAAGTTATCTTGAAATTTTATATGTAAAAACGTATATTTTATTCGTTTCAATAGCTGTCGGATCGTGTATTTCTGCCTAAATGTAGGCTCAATTTACGTGCCTTTTATGACTATTTATTAACTATCATGTGAGGAAAGAACAGTTTTCATCAATTTCTACAAGTATTTTAAAGCGATCTCGTCATTTCGTTTCATCTAAATTGTATTTATTTAAGAATGACATGCAACAAAATAAATTAACGTGTCATTCCTCGCTTCTGACGTCACGATTCCAACATGGCCGACGCGCGACTAGTGAGAAGCCTTAAAAGAAAATTATCTACTGCACACGTTATGATCCAATTAGATATAAAGTCGATAATTTTCTCATAGGATAAAAGCTAGTTCAACGTCTCTGATTCATCCTGTACACACACACACACGCGCGCACGCGCAAGCACACACACACACACACACACATATATACACACATACACACACACGCCCACTGAGTGTTTTAGAATTAATAAGCCAAACTTTAAGAACATATTCCAGTCATTATAAAGATGAAAAAGAGTCATATAAACATAGGCTCGAAAACGCTTCCTTTCCAATTTATAAATTACATTTTTTAATTTTTATATTGTATTTTATTGTGTACTCCTGTTGCTATTGTGGAAATACTCCGAAATCGTATTATTGCTGCGAGTAAAAAAATACGAAATACTTCGAGAATTTTTGAATATCTTCGACATCCATGCGACGTCGATGTGAAACATGCATCGATGCGGAAGGAAATCATTTCCAGCAATTTCTGTAATGAAAATATAGATAAAAGTATAATAAAGATAAAAAATAGATACAGTATAAAATAAAATATAGGTATGAGTATAAAATAAAATATAGGTATAAGTATAAAGTAAAAAAATATTTATAACTTGGAAAAGAAGCGTTTCCTAACCCATATTTATATGACTTTTTTTCATCCTTACAATAAGTGGAATATGCTCTTAAAGTTTAGCCAACTATTTCTGAAATACCCTGTATATGTATATAATGTAGACATTTAAAGCTCCGCGCAATCGTCTTAATTTCGCTAGAAACTATTGCTATGCAAAATATGTAAATACAACTACAATATAATCTCTGTGAGGGAGAAGAGGCTTCATGTAAATAAATTATTTAGAATGGAAGAATCTTCTCTGCAATTTTGAAAACTATAATCATATTTGTAAATTAGCATATTGTCATCAACATTATCAACCATAGATAAATTACAGTTAACAGCAGTGTTCGCATAGCAAGAATTTTAATAATCCTGTTATAATTATATGAAAAATCGCGTATTTATAATAAAATATTCAAAATTAAAGAAAAAGAAAAATTCTAACTTTTATATGGTTAATTTTTTTTTATTCTATTTAATTATTACCTATTAATATTTCAGTATAAAAATGGACATATATTTTTCACAAATTTTGAAGCAATATTGAGGAAGTATTTTTACGAAAAATATTTTCAACGTTATGAAGTCATCAACATTAAGAATAAAAGATGTTACAAAAAAACTTTTCAATCAATCTTTATATATTCTTCGTGAATCTAAACTAAACCGCGGCAGCATCGTCCGTGTTTCGCAATAGCGCAGCCGCTTTCACGACATCACCACCACACTGGTTCAGTATCACTTTGCAATCTTCAAGGCCGACAAAACTATTTTCCTTTTTCAGTAATCCTTGAAGTCGTTCCAGTTTAATTGCAGCTAGAACGTCCCATTCCGTGACATTCAATGCAGCAATGCAGGATTCTGGGGTTGACTGTTCATGCAACACCTTCAGCATGATTCGTACTTCATCAGATTGTTCTCCGTTTCGAGGTCCACGAGTTCTTCGTGTATTTGGCCCGTCACACGCAAATTCTAATAGATCTTCACAAGAAACATGGTCCGATTGTCGTGACAAGTCACTTACGATATCACAACTCGATGTTTTTTCGTTGGATAAATGGTATGCTTTTGGAATAGTAGTCAAATGAAAATTGTTGTTTGAGCCAATATGTACCAAAGGTTCCTCACAATGAAAAGCTTCGTATTTGGAAGAGATTTCTTCCACGTTTGTTTGTGAAGAGTAATTTAGTGGTGTCTGCTGTATTGTTGACGGAATTTGAACTCTGATCGAGGAATTTATCTTGTTCCAGTCTTCTGATCTACAAGAACTAATTGTCACCGGATTCTGGCTTAGATCTCTTTCCGTGTTTTCTTGTACTTTAGATGCAAAGCTTTTTAAGGAGCATTTTGGTTCAGCGCTGTTTTTTCTGCGTAACTTATCGGTCATTGTTGATGAATTACTCGATTGTTTCTCATTGCTTGTTTCCGAAACATTCTGACGTATATCCGGCATGTCGTTGCACTCGATTAAGTTATCTGAGAATTCCAGCAAATCCTCTGAGATCACGCTAAATCGTCGAAGTCGGCATTCTTCAATAGGTAATGAATCCAGTGCAGCTAGCTCGGAATCTATGCGTTGTTCGAATTCCTCTGGACTGAAAATTTTAAATGTCTATATTACAAAGAGCATCTAATTATTCACAAAGCGCTCGATGCAAAAGCGGATTAAATTGACAAGAAAACTCATAAAAATGTTTCTTCCTGATTTTGATGAGCAATAAATGTTATTTTCTAGACAAAAATGAAGAACATTTTTTTGTAAGGGTCCAATCGCATTTTTAGGGATACAATGTCATCTCTTTGAAAAAAATAGTTTTTTTCATTTGAAGCACATATCGTCGAAACTGTAAAGATGGAATCACACGATTCAATTTCTTGAATAATATATGCATACATAGTCATATCTACTCTGATGCATGCTAGAATACGCATTGAGTGGTACATACTGACATGCATAATTTCTGTGCATGATTTCGTGTCTGTTTCCTTGCATGCACCAATCAAAAGATTGAAAATGGTCACGTAATCGAGCAGACGATCGACAGTATTTTCAGAATAGAAATAATTGTTCTTATTTCATGTAGTTATCATATCATATAGTTTCATAATTTAATGTAGTTATCTATCAAACATGAGATTTCGAATTAAAAAATATCGTGGAATAAAGATCAAATAACAGTATAAAGATTATGCGTTTTGCGGGTTTCCTGCGTGTCCAGATCCATTCTTAGTATCAGGCTGCTTCTCGCCCTGATGAAGGTTCAGGAAACGTTGGCATTCCAAGAATGGATCTGGACATGGAGGAAACTCGTGAAACGCATAATCTTTATATAGAAAGCAGCTGGGGAAGCCTCAAGAATATTACCAAATAACAGTATTAATGGAAGTGTATAAAAGCGAAATTATATGCTATTAAAAATCCAAATTATCATAATAAGCATTTACGAAGCTCTAAAATAATTAAATAAAGAACTATAAAAAATACGTCCAAACACAGAAATTAAGGAATGTGTAAATAAATTGTATTCCTTAAGAAATAGTTTTAATACCGAAAATAAAAAAAGAAAAGAAAAAGATCCATGAAAATGAAAACGGGACAGATGACGTAAATATTCTATTCTTAATTTAAAATTTCACTTTCGCATTCTAATCTAATCTTACCCTTTTCATTTTAGATTTATAATCCAAATTTTTATTTTTAGATGCTTACATTTTTTTAAAAAAACATTTTCTGTTCAACAAAAAAATATTTCCACAAGAATAAGTGGAAGCAAGAATACAAAACAAGTAATATAACAATCAGGCAAAATATTAACGTACATATTCAATGGAATAGGCTTTATAGTTATTTTTTATCATTCGTTTTAGACTTTTCAAGCATTTCGCTGGATAATACTTTAGAAATGATAAGTCAAAATATAGATGATGAAATTCTTGAAGATGTATTGACAAATCAGAATTCACAGAAATCTCTAAACGAAAACACACAATGGGAAAACACTTATTATGATAATTTAGATTTTAATAGCATATAATGTAGGTTCGCTTTTATAAGCTTCTATTAGTATTGTTATTTGGTTTTTATTCCACGATATTTTCTAACTCGAAATCTGACGTTTGATAGATAACTACGAAATTAATTTCTATTATCTAACAATTGTTTCTATTCTGAAGATGCTATCGATCGTCTGCCCGATTACGTAACTATTTTCAATTTTTTGATTGGTATATGCAAAAAAATAAGCATGAAATCATATATAAAAATCATGTACAGAAATCATGCATGACAGCATGCATGGCTCAAAGCATAAACGTATTCTAGCATACATCAGAGCAGGCATGCTTATCATTCAAGAAATCGAACATCATGTGATTCCATCTTACGATAGGAAAAAAAAGTTTAAATGCTTAAAAAGTTAAATGGTTTGAAATTATAATTAAAAAAAAACTGTAAATAGAAAAATTTATATTTATAAAAAATAAATATTGAAAAATTTTTTTAATTATAACTGTTATAGACTCTTAAAACCTTTCAATTTTTATTTTAAACATTTTTCTATTTTTTATAGTTTCGATAATATTTATCTCGAAAAACAATAATCGATTTTCTTCAAAGGGGTGTTGCACTCATTAAAAATGCGATTATAAAATACCATTATAAATATGATTATAAAAACCATTATAATATGAACTATTATAAAAAAAATACATATCCTTTATTTTCATCATTCAAAGCTTATCAATATCAAACACTTCCATGGATTTTGTTGTATGTCGAAAAAGTCATTACATAATAATTGTAAAAATGCATCATTACATAATACATATAATATATTGTATTTAATTACATACTTGATGTAAATACTTCATATTAATTATCATATCATAAATATATATATTTAATATATACATTTAAACACATTGCATCATATAAATTTTATAATTACGTTAATGTAAACATCTTTATTCTTATAAATATTATAAATAATTGTAAAATATTTTAAAATTTTTTAACAATTAATTTTTGCATATTGTGATAATAATTATTATATATAAGTTTATTTGGGTGTGTACATCATGAGCTAATATCACGAGATAATATCTCAGCAAACACCAAATATAAATACAATATAAGACGGAAATAACTGTTATTTCAAACAAGTAATATGCAAAGGTTACACTATATTTGTATATACATATAACTTTATTTTATGCAGGATAAGTCATTTTAAGTAATACATTGAAATATCTCAAAAAATATAAAACAACAAAAAAATGTTTTAAACAAAAATTGCTCAGTTAATAGGGGAAAAAAATAGTGATTTTGGTTGATCTAAAGATGTCTTTATCAAGGTTACCTAAAATTTTTTTTATGGACACTTCAATTTTTTATTTCATGTTCATAGCTGACGTCAAGACCTTTTTCAAAATACTGTTATTAGGGATATTTATACAATGTCGTAACCAGTGCTACCACTCTAGGATGGCGCTGCGAGCGAGCATAATTGCGTGCGATTTATTTTGTCTATTTTACTTACTTATTTATTCTATTCTTTACTTTTGTAATATGATCGACACAATGTTCTGAATAAAGTCTTGATATATAATCTTGATCTCCAGAGTAATTTATACTTAACAATTATATAAAATATTTTTTCATTGAGTACTTTACAAGTTATGGAGCTTGAAAGTTAATAGATCAACGCTGAATTCGACTCTATGATAACTTACCTGAACGTAAAATTTGCTGCTCTTTTCATTTCTGGAGTCAAAAATAGAGGTTTCTATTTTTGACACCAAGTATAACAATTGCTTGGCGAGTGATTAACATTAATGTGGTCAAACGGAGTGCATCTTGCGTTGACTTGTTAACTTTCAAGTCCTATAACTTGTAAAGTACTCAATAAAAAAATATTTTATTATAGTGTTTTGAAAAGGCCTTGATGTTAGCTATATGAGCATGAAATAAAAAATTATGATTTCCGTTTAAAAAATTTTAGGTAACTTTGATTTGACTTTAAGAACATCTTCTCTAGATCAACCAAAATCATCACTTTTTTTCCTCCTAGTAACTGAACAATTTTTGTTTAAAACATTTTTTTTTTTTTGAGATATTTCAGAGTCACTTAAAATGACTCATTCTGTACATATGTATAATATAACCAGGTTATGAAACTATTATACCATTTTGATATTTACATGTTGTAATAAACAAACTTTTAAATTTTTAACCATCATACATCTGAAGATGGCTCAATCTTGTAGCCAAAACATGTTACGTGAATATTTATAAATTATGAAGCTTATAATTTTTTTTCTTAATACGAGGGTAGTTCGAAAAATTCTCGGTTCTGACATAGAGATAGTAGTACACCGAGAGTATCAAATGGCTATGATTTTTCTTAAGTTTGAACTTTCAGAGGGCCTCCGAAAAAGTTTCAGACAGATGCGATTAGTAGTTTGTCTGTTGCGTCGAGTAAAGCAAACAAGTTTTTTGATATTTCTCGAAAACTTGTTTTTCACACTTCTGCAAGTGCAGTCGCAAAACTTCATGAGTTGCGCTTCGAATTGCTGTCACACGCACCGTACTCACCAGATTTAACCCCCAGTAATTTTTTTCTTGTTTCTGAATTTGAAGAAATCGCTCGCTGGAAAAAGATACACTTCAAATATGGAGGTCATCGTTGAGACAAACGCTTATTTTAAAGAATTAGAAAAATTATATTATATTGAAAATTTAAAGAAAATAGAATATCGTTGGTCTAAGTGTATTAACTTACAAGGGGACTATATCGAAAAATAAAAAAAATTTTATCACAAATCATGTTTTTTTTTGTCAGGACGAGAACTTTTTGAACTACCCTCGTATATGTAACTCTCTAATTATATATTTATTCTAAATTTTATATTTTTATTCGACTTTTATTGCTCTGTTAATCTAACAATTCTATTTAATAACAAGAGTCCTGTATTTTACTTAATAAACAAACAGTAATATAATTGCATTTGTTGCGTATTATACAAGTTGATATTAAATTGATGCTGTATAATTTGAATTATAGAGTTCTAATCTTGCGACGTCACAAAGCTTTACGCTAGTCAAACTATCGAGTCAGGATCCTTCAATTCCCCTCTTGAAAAATGTTGACAGCAGATGTGCCGCCTCTATAGACTGGAAACCCAGAAATGGAATTAAGATGCCTGAGTCGATAACAATAAGTGGTTCTGATCTTACAAAATGAGGCTCAGCAGTGACCATCACCGATTTCAATGAAACTTGGCAGAATTGTAATGTTGCCCTGAATAAAAATCACCCCCCATTTGAACGTAGACAGTCTACTGTTTCCGATATATTTCAATATTAAAGTTGATAACGGCATTTCCTTTAGAGTTTATTAGAATGTTCTTACTCGAGTATTTGTAGCGTAGTGGTGATATACAATCTTCCCACAGCACAAAATTTGCAGCAATATCGCTGCAAAATCTCTGCAATTTTTGTGCAGTATTGCACATTTTTTAAATTTAATTTAAAAGGATTATTAACATCTCAGACTGATTGTGTTGATAAAGGCTTTAAATTCCATTACTATCCCCA